CCTTGGGCCCTTCTCCGCTGCCTTCTTGGCACAGCAGCAGGAAGCTGGATGGGAAGCGGAGTAGCTGGGATTTGAACCAGCACTCTGGGGTGCAGGCATTGCGGTAGGCAGCCTGACCTGCTGTGCCCCCAGGCCTGCCCAGGTTGAACCTCTGGCTAAGTGATTTCTAGCAAAGCCCTTGGTCTCAGCTCCCCAGGCTTCCTCATCCATCACGTGTCTTCTCTGCCATTGTCAGAATCAGCAAGGACTGCAGCACCCAAAGAAGTCAGAGCCCTAGGGTCTTTGAAGAAGTCAAATGCCCTTGGATCATCTGGGTCATTTTCATGACAGAAGCTGGCAGGCAGGTAACAGAGCTGCTCATGAGGACGAGGTGTGCTCCGGGGCCAGCAGGGGCGCCTCGTGGGGGGCACTGTAGGAGCCTTGCTGTTTTGCCAGCCATGTGATGGGTCCCAGAGGGCTGCTCCCTGCCTTGGCCTGTGACCACACTGGAGCCAGCACCCAGGCCACGCTGGACTCTTAAGGAGATGTCCCATGGTGGGCAGGCTATTCGGAGTTGGGTATTAAGGAGCTGCAGTGGTAGAATGTCCTGCATCCCAGTTATTAACAACATAGCCCACTTTCACTACCCGTGGACTGAAAACAAGGGGAGCTGCAACATTAAAAAAAAAAGGTTCCTAGTTACTTCTGGTCCAGCCTTAGGACCCAGGATGCACCTGTTTCCATTCTTCCCATCTCATCTCTGGTCCCATCCTGCAGACTGTGGCTCCTCAGGCAAGTTGAGTTCAGAAGACCAGAAACCTGCAGATGACCTGAACTGCTCATGAGCAGCCAGGTTGCTGCTCAGGAGCCGCCTGTGGCAGACCTGAGGACCCAGCCTCTGCACACCTTGTGGCCTTGCAGCCTCGCTGTGGGGTTCAGAGCCCCACAGTACATGCACAGGATGGGCAGGGAGCATGCTCAGCAAGTGGTTGCAACGGCCAGAACTGGGCCAGACCAGAGCTGGGGGCTTCTGGGTCTCCTACTTGGGTGGCATTTGGGCCATCTTTCGCTGCCTTTCCCAGACCACTGGCAGGGAGCTGGATCAGAAGTGCAGCAGCTGAGGACAACAATCAGTGCCTGAATAGGACGCCAGCATGGCAGGTGGCTGCTATACCCACGATGCCACAGTGCCAGCTACATAGCTCCATGAAGTTATTTTATTCTGTATAAAGAATGGTGGATTTATCTAATGGGACCCTGTGACATTAATAAACAACAACAAAAGCAAGCCGGCAAGGCTGCCTACCTCCCGGGCAACAGAGCACTGGGGCACCTGGAAGCAGACCTCCGGGGGAGATCCCTGCTTCATCAGCTTGACCAGATGCAACCCCGTGTTCGGGGGTAGCCAGGAGCCTGGACCCGTATGGGAGTTGCGGACATATGGGAGAGCTCTGGGCATCCCATTCAATTTGACCCTGAGCCTAAAACCACTTTACTAGATAGTTAACTGAAGGAAGAGAGAGGGGCTGGCATTGTGGTATAGCAGGTAAAGCTGCTGCCTGCAGAACTGGCTCCCCACATGAGCAGCTCCTATCCAGCTCCCTGCTAATGTACCTGGAGAAGCAGCAGAAGTGGGGCCAAGCACCTAGAGGACTCAGAAGGAGCTCCAAGCTCCCAGCTTTGGCCTGGCACAGCCCTGGCCATTGTGGCCCTTTGGGGAGTGAACCAGCACATAGACATAACTACAAATAAGTATTTAAAAATAGAAACAGAGAAGCATGTTGCAAAGCGCTACATCAAGTAGCAGGTGACCCAGGTAGAACAGACATGGAGCACACGCGCATGCAGGTGCTGGGAGCTCAGAGGATGGGGCACGGCACTGAAGCCAGTGTGCTTCTAGGTGAGGGCAGAGACAAGGACAAAGATGGGGAGCAAAGTGGTGTCTGTGATCACAAAGACCACTCCTCAGAGCCGAGAACATGACACACTGAAGACCAACAAACTCGCAAACAGCCAGCACCACAGATGAGCCTGTGGGACCCAGGTCCTCATCAGGGCAGGGTCCGGGACTTACACACCGCAGCCATCACTGAGCCTGTGGGACCCAGGTCCTCATCAGGGCGGGGTCCGGGACTTACACACCGCAGCCATGACTGAGCCTGTGGGACCCGGGTCCTCATCAGGGCGGGGTCCGGGACTAACACACCGCAGCCATCACTGAGCCTGTGGGACCCAGGTCCTCATCAGGGCGGGGTCCGGGACTAACACACCGCAGCCATCACTGAGCCTGTGGGACCCAGGTCCTCATCAGGGCGGGGTCCGGGACTAACACACCGCAGCCACACCCGATGTCAGCAGTTGGCCCCAGAGCCCAACATGGAGTCCCATTGAAATGTTGCCAGGCAGGGTTTATGCTTTTGCAGCGCTTATGTGTGTGTGCCTTTAATTTGCAAGGCACCTGCTGGCTCACCCCTATCCCTCCCACATACCACCCCACAAATACCCACAGTGGCCTGGGCCAAGCTGGAGCCGCAGCCGGGACTCAGTCCAGGTCTGCTACATGAGTCGCAGGTACCCTGCTTGTGCCCTCAGGTGCCACCTCCCAAGATCCCCATCAGCACGGGGGCCCAGGACTCAAAGCCAGGCACTCTATGATGTGTGGCAAGGGGCTTTCCAAGCAGCCACATCCTAGCTGCCTGCCCCTGCTTTAATGTTGATGATTAAGCTGAAAATAAAAACGCTGGGAGTTAAACATGACTTTAAATTATATATCATTTATTGAAATATAAAGATCTTCATGGACATGTTTAAAAATGCCAAGGGGACCAGGGGCAGGGGGTACATCCTGTCTGGATGGGCAGGCCCTCTTTCCCCTCCAGGCAGCTCTCACCCTCACCGCCACGCTGCTGGGGAAGCGGGTGAAGGATTCGCCTCTTTATTCCATCTAAAATATAGATTTCGGACATTCAAAAGTGCAACAGTTAATGTGCCTGTAGGGGATATCACAGTTCAAAAAATAGAAACAAAGGCAGTGGTACAGCTTCTTGTAAATGTTCGGTAGTATTCTCCAAGTCTACATAGAAACACATATATACACATGGATGTATGACATCCTTACAGCACACGTTCCTCTGCGCACACACGGGCAGACCACGGCGGGCGGCAGACAGCGCAACGGCCAGCTGATTGTCATCATGGAAACAGAGGGCAGGAGGCCACGGCCAATTGTCTTCTGTGGACTTCACAGAATGCCAAGGGGATCCAAGTCTGAGATACATGGGAAAGCCGCAAACAAAGCCACGCTGGGCAGACTCGGGCAGCAGTGGATGCGGGTGTTTGAGGCCCACGAGCTGTCGCCAGCCCCATGGTGTCCTGCGAAACTAGGGCCTCCATGTGCAGGGAGGTGACAAGAGCTGGGCGAGTGAGAAACAGAACACTCAGGCTGCCATTCCAGACGCTTCTGGTCTGAGTGGTGCCCCAGAATCATCAGGGGTCCCTCACTAGCTGGCCGAGCAGGGGGCTGGCACCTGGGCCTGGCCGTCGTGTCTGCCAGAGCATCACCTGACAGAAGCACATTCACTCCCCTGCCCCACCCCCCGTGACGGTAGTCCTCATGACCCAGGTGTTGCGTTTGACACCACCAAGAAAACTCCATGAGCCACCCCCGGCCAGCCCGGCGGGGCGGACGTGAGTCAAACACCGGGGAAATGGGTTCATCTTTCGGCCACTCTTCTGTACGGCTTTTTCTGAGGGCTGGGCAAATGCAGACCAGAAGTAAGCGGCCTCCTCCCCAGCCCCTCAGCCAGCAGGAATCAGGGCCTTTAACCTTCGGAAGGTCTGCCCAACCCTGGGAGCGTCCTTAGCTGCAACCACAGAATTAAACCCAGGGCAGCAACCGCCGGCCACACATGGCATTAAATGTCGCCGAGCTGACGCCAAGGGAGGAAATAGCAGGCTTCCCGCCCCGTGGCCTTGTAGCCCAGCTCCCAATCGCAAATGATTCCCCCTACACACACACACACACACACACACACACACACACACACACACACACAGCAACTCCCAAGAGCCTGGTCGCTGTGTCTGACACCGTGCTCGTCACGGCAGCCAGGTAAGGACACCGTTCCAGCCCCTCCTGGAGCCCAGCATGGGGCTGCTGTGATACAGGCGCAGCCAGCACCCTGGGGCGGAGTGAGCTGACCCCGTGCTTCAGCCCGTGCCAGCCAGGGCTGGGTCTGCCACTTGAATCCACAGCGTCACAATGGCAACAGTGGCCAGGGACAGGGCCTTCTCCTGTCGTGTCCTGCTGCATCTGAGGGCCCTTAACTCTTTCCAGTCCCACAGGCTAGGGGAGCTACCACGTCCACAGCCTGACACTACTTCGATTCTGTTCTCCGGGTCCAACTAACGCAACTATGGTGATCACCCTATTTTTCAGAGAAACATAAGCGATTGAAAATACATGTCAGAAACTTGTCAAACCATTACCTACATAGGATCTTTTTTTTTTTTTTCAAATGTGCTTTCTTGGTAAGGAAGCTGTTAGGTGTTATATACACTTAAGTGACTGACACCAGTAGTATGGTTATACACATAGGTTATGATACAGAAACACGTTCTTGGGCTCTGAAGCGACCCAAATCTATCCAACGAGCCTGGCCAATCATTCTCCACGACAGAGAAGTGAGAGGCTCCAGGCCACGTACCTTTTCAGAGTTCCCAGGCGGTCTGGCACGCAGGTGGCTACGAAGTCCATCAGCAGCTAGAGAGTGCACAGACCCAGTGGTCTCCCTGGGAGACCAGGGCGTAGAAGACCTGGGCACACCCTTGGTGAGTTAGGTACAAGACTGCGATGCTGACATCCGCAGAGCATGGTGTGTGTGCAAATCTCACCATGCCCTCGAGGCAGGAAGTTTGCCCCCCCGTGGTCTGTCACTCCCTCCTCCACCTCCACACGCCTTCGCCAGCTCAGCCTGCAGATGCCCCAGCCGAGGGGGCTCGGCTGCTGGAAATGTGTCACCAGTATCATTCATGTCCTCTCTCCACCTGTACCTTGTAATCAAGTAGCTTTCTGAAGGGGACCCAAAGGTGGTTTGGGGAGCCCACGGGCGCCTGCCGGTCACAGGAAGCTGTCCTCCACCAGGTCCGAGGAGTCCATGCCGACGTCATCCAACATGTCCATGTCCTCGATGGTCTCGTCCTCTCTCTTCAGGAAGGTGGAGCTGCTGGAGCCTGTCTCAATGGCACTCTCCTCGGAGGTCTGCGAGCTGGAAGGAGGAGGGCCCACGCAGGTTGCAGGAGGTGCCCAGGGAGGCGGTGCCTCAACACCCTTCCCACTTGGACAGCAGTGCTGTGCCCGATCACCTCAGCTGCCACCTTCCTTCCCTCTGCCCAGTTTCTCACCAGCCTTGACCCCTACTTTCCCAGCTGTACCCCAGTGCAAGGAGAAATGAGTGATGCAAGGCAGAAGGAAGGCAAAGCAGAAGGACCGGATCAGGACAGGTGCGATCCAGGCAGCCACCTGAACTCCAGGTGTGTGTACTAAACTGGACTTCAAGGTGGCCCTTTGCCACTGAACCTGAACTTGCCTCCTTGCCTTTGCTCCCAGGTGCACTACCTGTTCAAGTGACTGAACAGGGCCGCAGCCGTAAGCGCCAAGCACAGTGCCCAGCACGCAGTAAGGGCTCGGTGGACAAGAGATGCCCCTTGTGGCTGAGCTTGGAACAGCACGGGAGTCGGGGAGACACATTTGGGTGCCCCCTATTCACGCAATCAAAAAATCCCGAGTGGGCACGAGGGGCTGCAGAATGATTGCACAAGATTTGTGTTACAGAAAAAAGAAAAAGCAACCTTGTATGGCCTCAAACTGGTTGGCCCCAACATCAAAACAAGCTCCTTTGTTTTATGAATTCCACTTCTCCAGCCCCCGACTGTGACACGCACAGGGCTGCACAGGGCCTAACCGAACGTGGAGGGAGGCTGTTCCAGCTCTTCTGTGCATTCTTCGCCCTGGGGACAGTCTGTGGCCATTCCCCTGTACCCGTCTGTGACCTCTCGGCGTTGCCATGCCTTGCTCCAAGCTGCTACCGGCTAGCCAGCCGCTGCACAACTCGAGACACAGAGCAGTGAGGACACAGTGTCCCTTCCTCTCCCTAGCAGAGAACCCAGTCCAGCCAGCTGCCACCAACCATGACTCCAGTGTTACTGCCTGCTCCTGAACCCCCGGGGTCACTGGGCTGCAGCTCCCCCCGGCCTGAGCCCCACCCTGACATCTGGTCCTGCACCTCATTCTGAATCCATCACTTCCAGTCTTGATCACTGTCCAGGCCTGCAGGCCTCCTCCCCTGGGAGCTGCACCTGGGTCCTGTCTGTGCTGAGAGTCTGAGCCAACCCAGCAAGGGCTGCTACAGGTGCTGGACTCCTGCCTGGGTCCCAGTTAGACCGCTGACATGGGCCTCTGGTCCCTGTCCCCTGCTCTTGCTCTGCCAGTCTTTCGCCCTCCCAAAAGGCAGGGGTGTGGGCAGCAAACACTGAGTGCCAGCCCACGCTCATGGCTTGCCAGGCGCCCGGGAGACCCAGTGAACTGGCCCCTGACCCCACTCCCTTTCCACAGCCAATGTCCTGCAGAGCCCAAGGGTGTGGCTTGGGGGCTGACTCTGTGCACCTGGGCCCAACCTCCCCAACAGACACCCAACTCCTGGGGATACCCCTTACCCAAGCCAGCCTCCCTCACGGCTCAGGGTCTACACTCCCACCCAACATGGGGTTCCAGGGGCCGCTCCTCATTCTCAGATAGAACAAGCCAGAAGCTGGAAGCGTGCCTAGGTCTGGGGAGCTGAGACATCCCAAGTCCAGTTAGAAGCAGAGCCCTACACAACAGAGACACTTCCAAGAGCCACTGTCCTGAAACACAGAGCCGCCACCTACTGGAGAGGAGCCCCCAGCCCCCTAAGCCCCTTGGGCTCCAACGCCCAGCGCCCGGGCAGGCTTGTTTGTTGAAGGAACATAAACACACGTAAGAACAGGCCTGAGTAAGTAAATGCAGCCAGGCCGGCACCGCGCCCCGCTGCCTAACCGCCGACTCCAAATACAGGAAACGCAGGAGCTGTCCTTTCCAAATGACCTGGTCCACCCAGCAGCCCATGCCCACGGGGCTACCCCAGGCGCAGCCACAGGCCTTCTGTCCAAACGACTACATGCGGTTAACCAAATGACCAGGGAGGGAGCAAGAACGAAAGATGTCCCCAGCAAAGAACAAAGACACGGACACAGGCCACGTGGACCCCAAGTGGGGGCCACAGCCACCGCCCTCTACCTTCGCCCAAGTAAGGCAAGCAGGGGCGTGGGGTGTGCGAGTCAGGGTCGTCGGCCGTGGTTGACGAGGGCACCACCTTGGTCATGAGTGGACGCAGCCAGGCTCTGAGCGCCAGTGAGTGGCTGTTCATGTGGTCAAGGGGGCAAAAGGGTGCTGGGAACTTCTAGAAAGCACAAAGCCAGAGCCTGCCTCCAGACCCACGCTGCAGAGTCCACAGAGGCGGAATGCAAGTGCAGGAGCGAGCGTTTAGTAATGTTGAGATTCCTCTTGGTGCTAGCACCAAGGCAGAGCAGGTTAACCCACCACCTGCAGCATCAACATCCCGGCTGCTCCACTTCCGATCCAGCGTCCTGCTAATGGCCTGGGAAAGCAACAGAGGATGGCCCAAGTGCTTGGGCTCCCGTACCTACATGGGAGACCCAGCAGAAGTTCCTGGCTTCTGGCTTCGGTCTGGCCCAGCCCCGGCCGTTGCAGCCATTTGGGGAGTGAACCAGCGGACGGAAGATCTCTGAGTCTCCTTCTCTGTCTCTGTCTCTCTGTGCCTTTCAAATAAATAAAATAAGTCTTAAAAAAAAAAAAAAAAAGACACTGCCTGGGATGACCACAACCCATTTCCATGCTTGGTCTCAGTCCTAGCTTGGCTTCCGACTCTGGCTTCCTGCCAGCACACACGCTGAAAGGCAGCAGGTGTCGACTCAAAGTAGTTGAATTTCTGCCACCCACAGGGGAGGCCCAAATTGAGTGCCTGGTTCTCAGCTTTGGCCACACCCAGCTCTGGCCATCATGGACATCCAAGCAATGAAGCCCCCTCCCCTCTCTGTCTCTCTCAATGTGAACCTTTCTGCCTTTCAAAGACTCGCCACTTAAGAATGGTTTTAAGTCACAGAATAAGCCACATTCATGTTAGACAGCCACCATGGGAGAGATTGCTGTGATCACAGCAGCTGACTGACCCGGTCCCTTGAGGGCCTGGGTCTCACACACACACACACACACACACACACACACACACACACATGGCCCCAGGACCAAGGGCACACCCTGGAGTCGCAGTGAGTCGCCTGCGCCCTGGGCTTACCTGTGACGGTTGCGTTTGCCCCCATCCTCCTCCTCCTCCTCAGGCATGGGGTCGATGTCAGGCAGTGGGATGATGTAGCCGCTGTCGGCGCTCAGCCTCTGCTCGCCCAGGCCACCGTCCCAGTCCTTGAGCTTGTCCTCTTCATTCTTGTAGGTGACACCGACGTACGCATTGTCCGAGTCCACGCGCATGCGGGCCACGGCCGGGTGGTCACTCTTCAGGAAGTCCAGGTGAATTTTCTCATAGCTCTGCAGGTGGACAGGGGAGCACATTGGAGCCCAGGCTGTGTGCGGCCCTAGCAGGAAGTGTAGCTGAACGTTCAGGACACAGGTGTATCTGCTGGACTGTGATGCCAGCTTCCCAGCTCAAGGGTATGGTGCCTGGCACAAAGGAAGGGCCATGACCCACACAACCTCGTACTCAGGGTCCCAGGAGGCCAGGGGCCATTGGTGTGGTGGTGCCAACATCCCATGAGAGCACCAGTTCAATTCTCTGCTGTTCCATTTCCAATCCAACGCCCTGAGAATGCCCTTGGGAGAGCAGTGGAGGACAGCCCAAGTTCTAGGACCCCTGTACCCCTGTAGCCATGCTCCTGGCTCCTGTTTTTGGACCAACCCAGCTCTAGCAATTGTAGCTATTTGGGCAGTGAACCAGTAGATGAAAGCTTGCTGTCTGTCTCTGCCTTCCAAATAAATAACTTCATTTTTACAATGATGCTAACAGCCCCTTTTCTGAGCCACATGCCCACATGCCCACATGCCCACATGCCCTGCAATTCCACCCAGGGATCGAGGAGAGCAGCTAGCCCGAGACCCTGGGGGACTGCACATCCTCCTCTCCCCATGGGGAAGCCTCACCGTGGAGACACGGAGCGCCCGTTCCCCAAGCACGGTCCCCAGCTCCTTCTGCCAAGTACACCTTTGACCAGCCCCAAGCCCGTTCCTTCTGCCTCTCACTAACTTGCCCTTTGTTGCCACCACATAAGGCCTCACATTCACAGTCAAGCTGCGGGCGCTGCCAGCATCTCCTTGTGGACAGAAAGCAGCCCTGGATCTGCAAGGGAGAAGCCTCTGCTGGGCTTGCCCCTCACCCAGGGAGACGCTGGGTGTATCTCCATGTCCTGTAGGGTGCCCTGCAATGCTTGCCACTGAGAACCAGCAGGGACTCAGCCGCTCAGGGCGCAGGCCCCCAGTACCCAGAGACTCCCAGCTGATGGCAGCTCCAGACACTCAAACACCCAGAGAACCAGGGGCTGTGGGTGCTGCGGGATGGGAGCATGCCCCAAGCACAGCCGCCAGGGTCACATGATAGCACGTGAAGCCTGGACCATGCACGTTCCCTACCCACCCCTCGGGCTCCCAGAACACATATATAGGCCTAAATGCCCTGCCAACCCCTCAGGTGGCCGGATCACGCACGTAGGCCTGAGCAGCCACCATCCTCTGCCCACTCCTCCGGTGCCCAGACCACTCGCATAGGCCTGGCTGCCCTGCCCACTCCTCTGGTATCCAAACCAACCTTCTTATACTGTCCAGGCAGCAGATTCTCCACGATCTCGCTCAGGTGGTAAAACGAGGGTCGTTTCTCCGGCTCACTGTTCCAGCACTTGACCATGATCTCGTAGCTGCAGAGGCAAGAACGCCATCTGTGAGCAAGGGGTCGCCCCAGGCCGCACACCTGTCCACCCACCCACCCGGGCCCCAGGACGGGGAGAGCCTCACACTTCACTGGTGGCATGGTCGGGCTTGGCCATCCGGTACCCGCTCTTGATCTTGTTGTAGAATGTGGAATCCACCATCATGCCAGGGTAGGGAGTGCCCCCTAAGGCCAGGAGCAAACAGCCATGACTCATGTGGGGCCAACAGCGGGCGAACCCCAGAGGGACAGGGCACTGTTGAGAAACACTGTGCACCCTAAAGTCTGCACAGGCCACTCCCAGCGCAAAGAACAGCTACCGTCACTAAATCCTGGGACCACAGGCCAAGCACCCCAGGCCCAAGTCCTACACATCCAGAAAAAGCCTGGAAATGTCGGTCATGTTCCTGGCTGCCAGAGCCACAGGGAACTGAACAAATGGGGCAAGGCTCAGTCCCATTCATGAAAAATGGGCCCTGGGTCATTCTCTGCACGTTCTATGTGGCCCCTTTAAGCCACATGCTGGAGTGGTCCATGGTGACCACCAGGGAGGGACAGCTAGGACAGTGAGCCCACAAAAGCCCCCAAGCCAAAAACACATCCTGGTGATGCGATGACAGGACAGGGAGGAGAGACAAAAGCTGGAGGGAGCAGGGAGGAATCGGCACAGCCCCCAGGAACCCAGCTCAGCCCACACAGGGCCAGTATGAAAACCTGTGAGTCCAGGTACCCCAGCCCTGCCAATGCTCCCCGCCACGGGGCAGGTGCAGGCCAGCACAAGCCAGCAGGGTGTAGACCGTACCAAGAGAGAAGATCTCCCAGAGCAGAATGCCATAGGACCAGACATCGCTCAGCGTGGTGTAGAGGTTGTCGAAGATGCTCTCAGGGGCCATCCACTTCACAGGCAGGAAGGTCTGCAAGGGACAGGGGAGACACTGGACCACAGCCCTGTGTACCTTAAGCTTACAGAGAAAGCAGGAGCACAGCTCCCGGGGCAGCCTTTTCCGCAAGGCTCGTCCAATCCTCTCTTACAACTCGGAGTTCCTCCCATTGAAGGAGTCATGGACAACCCCCATCAAAAGCCTGATAAAATCTTAAGAGACCGGAGCCACGGCCCCTGAAGATGCCTGCGTGTGTGCACCTGCTCTGAGCACCTACAGCTGACTCTGGGTGACCTCCCTGACTTAGCACCAGAAACGGGTGCAAGATCTCCTCCCTGCTCTATAAAAGGGAACCAAGACACAGCAACCTCCCCTCCCCAGCCCGGGTAAGGGGCGCCACTGGCCTGCCCACTCAGACAGCCCGTGCTTCCCACACCAAACCTCCCCAGCCCGTGCACCCCAGGAGCCCACCCACAGACTGTGTGTGTACATACGCTGCCTTTGGAGACGTAGTTGGAATCATGCATGATGTCTCTGGCTAGGCCAAAGTCACAGATCTTGACAATCTTCCCTTGTGCCAGAAGGACGTTGCGTGCGGCCAGGTCCCGGTGGACACACTGTGTGCGAAGGGGACCTCATGATGTTAGAATCTCTGTGTTGGTGACATTCTCCCCCGCCCCCCCCACCTCCCAGCAGACAAGCCTCTCCCTGCTGACACCCAGGAAGTCCACCTGGAACACAAAGCCCACCAGCCCCCAGGTTTCCCTCGGGGCCTCCCCAAAGAGAAGACAGGTGGGAGCATGTCCCGGCCCCCCTCTCTGCGTCTCCTTCCATACCCCCCTCGCCCCCTTCCCTAAAGGTGGTCACTGTTCTCCAAAGCTTACATTTTTGGAAGCCAAAAATTCCATGCCACGAGCAACTTGGTAGGTGAAACTCAACAAATCCAACAAGGTGAGGCCTTCGGAGTTGTCATCCGAAAGGAGGTTCTTCACTTCCGAATCTGCGAAAGACAAAGTAAATGGGTCAGGGCAGGTGTACGGCCGAGACTCACCACCTGCGTCTCCCACCAGGCGGCGCTGCGGGGCAGCTCCCCGTGCAAATCCCATCTTAAAGAATGGAGAACTGTGGGCAGGTGCGGGGTGCAGGGGGTTAAGCTGAGGCTCACGATCCCAGCATCCCACCCCAATGCAGCAGTGTGACTCCCAGCTGCTCTGCTGAGCCAGTTAGTGGGCTGGGGAGCAGTGAGCCCTGCCACCCACTGCAATACCCAACGGAGTTCCTGGCTCCTGTCTTGAGCCTGGCCCGGCCCCACATGCTGTAAACCAACGCTGAAACACCACTCTCTCTCCTTCTGTCATTCTGCTTTTCAAATACGTGAATAAATCTTTTCAAACATTAATATAGAAATCTTTATCCAAAATCTGAAATCTGAACTGTTCCAAATTCTATAATTTTGGACCACCATTCCGAGACGCCACTGGCAGAAAATTTCATATCTGACCTCATGTGTAGGGGCAAATAATGGTGCAAGGGTGAACACATGGCTTGGGATGCCTGCATCCCGCACACACAGGGCCGGGGCCGAGGGCCAGCCCTGCTTCCCGCACACACAGGGCCGGGGCTGAGGGCCAGCTCTGCTTCCCACGCACACAGGGCCGGGGCTGAGGGCCAGCTCTGCTTTCGAGTCCAACTTTCTGAAATGTGCACCTGGAGGGCAGCAGGGAACAGCTCAAGCGCTTAGGTCCCTCCCCGCCATGTTTGAGACTCAGACCAAGTTCTTGGCTCCTGGACTCAGCCTGGCCCAGTCCTGGTTGTTTCAGGAGTGACTCAATAGACAAAAGCTCTAACTTCCTTTCAAATAAATAAACAAATCATTTTTAAAGTATAAACTCACCTTTAGGATGCACCTGGAACACAGAGGGATTTCATATTCGATTTTTCCTATCCTGTAATATTCTTTTATATATATGCAAATATTCTAAAATTTCAAAATATCCAAAATCCAAAATTATTTTATATTCTAAAAACTTCTTAAGGTCTTAAAAAAAATTTATTTGTGGGCCTGGCACAGTAGCCTAGTGGCTAAATACCTTGCCTTGCATGTGCCAGGATCCCATATGGGCACAGGTTGGTGTCCCAGCAGCCCTGCTTCCCATCCAGCTCCCTGCTTGGCGCCTGGGAAAGCAGTTGAGGACGGCCCAAAGCCTTGGGACCCTGCAGCCGTGTGGGAGACCCAGAGGAGGTTCCTGGCTCCTGGCTTCGAATCAACTCAGCTGCAGCCATTGTAGCCACTTGGGGAGCATCAGTGGATGGAAGATTTTTCTGTCTTTCCTTCTTTCTGTAGATCTGCCTTTCCAATAAAAATAAATAAATCTTTAAAATGTTTATTTATTTGTTTATTTGAAAGTCAGAGAGAGGGGGAGTCTGAGAGTGACATATTCTCTCTGCTAGTTCACTCTCAGATGGCAGCAGCAGCCAGGGGCGAGTCAGGCCCAGGCAGGACCAGGCGCTCAGGAGCCTCCGCCTGTGTGCCAGAGGCCCAAACACTGGGCCGTTTTCCTCTGCTTGACTGGAAGCGGAGCAGCCAGGACACGCCCAGCACCCACACCAGACGCCAGCACCACTGACAGCAGTTTTACTCACTATGCTACAACGCTGGCTCCTTTCTCCTTTAGACTTTTATTTATTTATTGGCTTGAAAGGCAGGATGAAAGAGTTCTTCCATCTACTGGCTCACTCCCAGATGCCAGAAACAGCCAGAGGAAGCCCACCCGCGGGAACAGGAGCCCAAGCACATGGACCATCACCCATCACCTTCCCAGGGGCATTAGCAGCAAGCTGGAGCAGCTGTGGGGCTCGAACCGGTGCCCCAACAGAGGATACAGGTTTCTCAAGCAGCTCCTTCAGCTGCTGCCCATCCACCAGCACCCTCAACACTTGCAGTGCCCAGCACCTGGTGAGGCATCAGCCCAGCTGGCACCTGTCGGCATCTGATTTACACATGCCCACACAGAGCCAGTCGGCTGTCCACACCGATCCTTAACAAGCCTTCACACAGAACTGGTTCACCTCCTAAATGTCTTTTTCCAATCTCAGCAAGCCGCCTTAGCTATCTTTAACACACACACACACACGAGGACCCTCTGGACAAGGAGCATCCAGCAATCGCTTCATTTTCTTTTTCAATCCACCCTGAACTTTTCCATCCGTGACCGGACATAGGGAGGGCCCACGGCCCTGCATGAGCGCCCTCCCCCTCTGGCCCTCCCTCCCTTGCCTGCCTGGCTCGCTTTCACTCCCTCCTGGAAGGGCCCTAGGGCTGTCGAGGAAGATGCTGGTGGAGGCCAGCAGGGCTCCGTGCTTCATGAGAACGTTCAAGCAAGCAAAATGTCTCTACAGCCATTCATGCCGCTTCGAGCCCAGGCCAGAAAGTGGGGTGCTGCCTGCCAACAGCCCACGCCGGGGCGTGAGTCAGATTCTCCTGGGTGTTGACTGCCAAGTGCACCACCAGCCCGGCTGGCCAGGGAAGCGATGGCAGCTATTTTTAAAACCACAGGAGGGGAGGGGAGGCACTTGCTCCAATGCTCTCCCTGGCTCGGCCTGCAAGTGCTTGGGAGTTCACCCACTTGGCAAGCAGCAATGAGTGGGACCTGGAGCGGCCAGAATGGAAAAGGCTATTGTTGCAAAACAAGCTTTTTTTGCCTTAATGGATTGTGGCTCTCGCTTAGGAACCCTGAAAGCATCTCAGAGCACAGCTAACAACTGTGGGGTTTTTTGCAAACAACTTCCACAGCCACTCGTGTCCACTGGTGGGTGGGAGCCAGGGAGCAGAGGCAGACCCTTGAAGCGAAAGCCAACGTCGGAGTCGGCCGCTAGCCTTGTCCTGCAGGTCTGCAGCGGCCTGCGGGGGAGGGCTGTTGCCTGGGTGGGGCCTGTCTCACTTGCAAATCAATGCAACCCACACCACACGCTCCTGTGCTTCCTGGAAGCACCTGTCAGCAAAGCCAGCCTCCCACTGTCTCCCTCACCAGCTGCAGGGCCGGACGGTTCTGCTCTAAGGACTAGGGCGCGCTGGTCCACATCTAAGACTCCCAAAACCTCAGGAGCAAGCCAACCTAACAACTTTTTAATTTTGCGAAGTGGAATAAAAGCATCAACGATCATCACTGCTTTCATTGTGGGGGAGGGGAGGAAATACTGCAACACGCAAAGCAAGGTGACTGTCGTGGAGTGACCTCGTGCTCCAAGTGTCTAGGTGGCTCCCTGCATTAACTTCCCTCTTCCCGCTAAAACACACCAGACGCCAGGTCGGGGGAACCTGCCGTTGGGGACCACAGCCCCATCCCGCTGGCCTTCCTGGGAAGACCCGACAGGAAGCCAAGCCTCGGGGATCCCTGACTACATGGTGGGCGCAGACATGTTTACCTAGCATGGATTTCTTCTTGTAGGAAGCCGGGCGGTCATAGAGTGACCGCTGGATGTCCGCGTACTTGGACACCTCTTTCCTCTCCAGCATGGGCACGTACTGCGTGCTCTCGGCTTGCTTCATGTCCATGTAGTCACCATTGTTCTCGAAAGATAAAATCACGTAGCTGTGAAGGCACAGAAAGAAACTTACCGGGGTGTCCCCTGCGGGCCTGGTCACCCGACACCCAGCAGGCCACGGCCCACAACCTGCATGTGGGACACTGCAGACGTGGGGGGCTCCCAGGGCAGGTGAAAAACCAAGCCATGTGCACACCCTCCGCGTGCATGCTCTCCACGGGGACCAGGCTCTGGACAGTCACCAACACGTGAGTCGCTTTCCTATAGGCTGGGCCAGGAGGAAAACCCTGATCCTAGAGCACAGTGAGCCTGGCACCTGCCAAGGACGGCCATGGTCAGTGTCCACCATTGGCCTCTGCGTCTGACTCCTGACCCCCTGCACCTGCAAAAGCAGGCACCCCTTAGGACCACGTCTAAAACTCCCACAGGCCCCCAACATCCTACAAGGTGAGGACATGTGGACTTGGACATGGACCGGGTGGTCTGGCTCAAGCCCTGCAGCCACGGGCACTGAGCGGGCAGCCCTGGGGCCCAGCAGGCCGTGGAGCCTTTCACCGTGGGGGTGAGGACTGCTGGGCAATGCTGTGTGGCAGCCTCGCTCCCTAAACCCACCTGCGCGTGCTCTCGTCCGCTGGGTTCAGACCAAAGATGTCCAACTCTTTCTTGGCCTTCTCCGGGTGGCGGCTCAGGAAGCTGTCCCTATTCTTATGCAAATAGTTAACCAAGTCGCCGTAGAAGCAGTACTCGGTGATGATGTAGATGGGGCCTGTGGGGAACAGAAATCAGTGAGAGGAATGTGATGGACAGCAAAGCCTCCAGCTGCCACGGGGCTCAAGCACGAGGCGTCCACCCAGGGGGCCATCCCTCTGTCACAGCCCTCATGACAGCAGGCAGCGAGGCCTACCCGCCTTGGTGCAAGCGCCCAGCAGGTTGACGATGTTCAGGTGTGGCCCCAGATGAGTCATGATCTTCAGCTCCGACATGAGGGCCTGCTTCTCGCTGGATCGGGCCGTGGCTGTGATAACACCATCACACATCAGCACAACCGAACCCACCCGCTTCCAGCTCCCGGCCAGAGCCAGCGGGACCGCGGCTGGTGCTGTGACCAAGCTCACAGCGTCTCCCGAGGGTCTACGGCAGAGAGCCCCCCTCATCTAGACTAACAACCCACCCCTGGTCTTCAGGGTAAAAACCTGAGCAGGGGCACAGTGGACAAAGCCACTGCGTGGGACACTGATCCAGCATCACCGTGCCAGCCTGAGTCCCCACTGCTCCACTTCCCACCAGCTCCCTCATCCAGCATCACAGCGCCAGCCTGGATCCCCGCTGCTCCACTTCCCACCAGCTCCCTGCTGATGCACCTGGGACAGCAACAGAGGCCACCCATATGAGAGACCCGGATGGAACTTGTGGCTTCTGGCCGCAACAGGCTCGGCAGTTACAGCCATTTAATGAGCAAACCAGCTGGTAGAAGATCTCTTTTTCTTTCAAGTAAATCTTTTAAAAACTCCTAAGTTTCCAACCCAGGGGTGATGAGCTGAACTGACGACACAGACTAAACACACAGAGATCCGTGGAGGGATTGACCCAAGTCCCCAGGATGGGGAGGCACTTACGTTTCAACATCTTCACAGCCACCTTCATCACAGGCTGGGACCGGCTCAGTCCATAGGCTGTGCCTTCCACCACCTTCCCAAAAGCTCCAGAGCCCAAGATCCGACCTGCAGACAAGCAGAACCATCAAGCTTTGTGCACAGCAGCCGGCGTGGGAGTGTGCACGTGCGTGAGCGTTCCCTGCATTGAGAGCACAGAAGGGTCCCTCCGTGACTGAAGGGATGCGGGGGATGCAGCCCCCCGTGTGCCAGCTCCCGCCCTCTGTGTCCCACCTGCTGAGGGTGACACTTTGGCAGCTGTGGCAATTGAGACACTTCAGACTCCAGCCTGGGTCCAAGCTGCTGCCTGCACATTCTGGGCTTCATGATGCCAAATGCGAAGGGCACATGGTGCCACATGCCCGGCTCTTAAAGCTCACAGGCTCAGAGGGACACTGCCCAGCGGAAAAGACCTGGGCGTGTGGGATGCCCAGAGCCAATGCTGGTGGTCCTCAGCACTGGCCGTATGGCTGCAGTCCTGCGTGGAGCAGAGAGGTGCAGTACAGCTCTTGCCACAGAGAGCTACCCTTGGCCTTATTAACTCTGCTGAACTCGTCCCTTCTCTGGAGAGGGAGGTGGGATGACATAAGCTCAGGTGTGCGGACTTGACATTGGTGGCAGCTCAGATGCCCTGTACGATTCTGGCATCAGAAACTAAGCCTGGCTGGGCCTTGCCATGACACAGGTGGGTAATGAGACACCCAATCTGGCATCTTTTTAAGCCCAGCCCAAGGCAGGCATTTGGCACTGCCCAAGACAACCACAACCTCTAGTGGTGAGCCTGTGTTCCAGTCCTGATCCAGCTCCCTGCTAACGTGCCCCCCAGGGGAAGCAGGCAAGGGCTTGAGTGCCTGGGGCCTTGTCACCTTGAGGGAGACCCCAATGCAGCTGGTTTGGGCCTGTGAATGCAACATCACCACCTCTCTGCCTTTCAAATAAACAAACACCATGTTGTTATAATACAAGCTGCCAGGCCATCCACAGTGACAGAACCTCTGGCTCCAAGGCCCCCGGCCTGTCTTGCCTTCATGCTTTCCGAATGCGATTTGAAACACCAAACAGAAGCTTCAGATTCTTGATCCGGGGCAAGACTAGAGCATGGGAGTTATCCACAATGGGCTGTCTTGATAACTTTTACATATTTTGCTGAAAACGTGCTTATAGGGACCAACACGAGCATAACGTCAGCTGCCACCTGCGGCAACGGCACCTCACGTGGGCACCAGTCTGAATCCTGGTTGCTCCACTTTCCATGCAGCTCCCTGCTCATGCATTGGGGGAACGGCAGAGGACAGCCCAAGTCCCTGCACCCACATGGGAGAGCCAGAAGAAGCCCCCGGCTCCTGGCTTCAGCCCAGCCCAGCTCTGGCTGTTGGAGCCATTTGGTGGGTAACAAGCCCACGGAAGATTGTTCTCAACTCTGCCTTTTCAAATAAATAAAATCTTTATTTAAAAAAGCCTACTTATACTGTTAACTAAACTGGATCCTGTATTTTGCCCCAGGTCAGGAACTAGCCAAGCTGTCTGCACAGTGAGAGGGGGGTCCAGGAGTTCAGCCCTGCCCCCAGGAGCTCACCCAGCACGAGTCCATCTCTGGGAAACTCCCAGCGCGAGTCATAAGGCAGCTGCATGGGGTCCACGTAGATGTACTCGTGTCCATCGGGGCTGATGGACTCAATCACCCTCCAGCGGATCTCGTATCTGGGTTTCTACGGACAAGCAGGACAGGTAGCAGGTGAATTACCACTCACTGGCCCAGGGCACCAGGGAGGGCTCCTGGTGACGGATGCAGCGGGGTCCCCAGGGTTGGAATCTACCTGTTTCCAAATGACAACCAGGATGATCAGTGAGACAATCACAATCACCAGGAGTACCAGGACTGCGGCTGCCACGGTGAGCTCGGAGCGCAGGCCTGGGGCGGGGGAGGGGGGGGAGGGAGGGAGGGAGGGAGGGGGAGGGAAAAGGAGGGAGGAGGAAGGAGAGGGAGAGAGGGAGGGAGAAGGAGGGATGGAGGAGGGAGAGGGAGAAGGAGGGAGGGAGGAGGAGGGAGAGGGAGAAGGAGGGAGGAAGGGAGGGAGGGAGGGAGGGAGGAGGGAGGGATGGAGGAGGGAGAGAGAGAGGGAGGGAGAAGGAGGAAGGGAGGGAGAGAGAGAGGTTGGTGTGTGAACTTCCTGTCCCTTGTAAAACTGTTCCCAGGAAACACTGCCAACTCTCCCACAAAGACACAGCAATCGGGAGCCCAGCTCTGCACAGACACCCCAAGCAGGGGGCCCTCAGGGCTGACTCTGACCTTGAAGGGGACCCAGGGCTGCCTTCAGGGCAACAGCCTGCTCAGGTTATCACAAGCTGGTTTCAAAAGGCCTCCTAGCTTTGTTCTATTCTATGGATTTGGGCTCCATTATTCACGTTGAATTCAAGCATGTCTCAGCTGCTTGAAGAAGCCACAAGATGGGAAAAATTTTTTCCCAGCCAAATCTGGGAAGACACTGGCTGCCCAGGCTTAAGGGCCCTGTCACACCATCCCGCAAGCACCTGCAAGGAGACCTCTGCCAGACACAGTTCTGGGTGTGAAAGCCCTCATGCTGGCCCCCTGCCTTGCAGCTGCAGAACCTTGGGGACCAGGAACCCTGCTGGGAGTCCTAGGGGACCCAGGCCCCCATCCGATGACCCGGAAGTCCATTGCACTCTCAAGCCACTCACTGGGAGCCACCAGCTTCAGCTCTCGGTTCTCGGTCCCCAAGGGATTCCTGGCCAGGCAGCGAACCGCCAGGGTCTCCTCCACCTTGGAGAAGGTGAGTCGACCCTCCACCACACTCCTGCCTCGCGGGTGGGTCTCCGTGACAATGTTGGAGATGTTGCTGGCCAGGATCGTCCACGACGTGTCATTGTTACACCTGGAGAGGCAAACAGATGTCAAGGCAAAGCGGGGGGCTCGGGGTTGGAGACCCTGGGCACAGGTGCACCTGTAGGCACAGCCTGTTCCCACCCGTGTTTGGGGGAGCTACGGGTCAACCTTGAGGTCTGGTGATGAGCGTGAAAATGCATTCGCTCACGATTAAGAGGAACACCCACACGCAGACAACTGACAGGTCACGCCTTCAGATAAGTTCTGTAAGACATCACTGCACCGATCACCCTCAACTGGAGCCTCTGGGCCAATTCAGATCTCCACTGCTCAGAGGGGCCCAGAAACCACCTTCTTGACACCCACCTGGGACACGCTTTAGCCATATGGCCTCTAGCCTCACCATGGACTCATGAGACCTCAACTGAGGCCGGCCAAGCCGAGGACACCGGTGTCAGTCTCCCAGTCAGCCACCAGGGCTTCTAGACTTAGCTGGTGGGCATGGGTGAAGCGTGGAGAGGCCCAGCATACAGCAGGTGGGCGAGGGTGGGTGTGGGCAGTCACCCGACAGGAGGTGAAAGGTCAGACCAATGGCCTGGCTCATAAAAACCCCCTAGGGCAGTCATCCTTATGACTTCTCTGGGGTTTGGCACTGTGGCATGGTGGGCTAAGCTTCCATCTGTGGCACCAGCATCCTGTATGGGCACCAGTTTGTGTCCCAGCTGCTCTGCTTTCCATCTAGCCCCCTGCTTATGGCCTGGGATGGCCCAAAAGTGGATGGTCCAAGTTCTTGGGATCCTGCCATTAGGTGGGAGACCAAGAGGAGGCTCCTGGCTCAGCTCTGGCTGTTGTGGCCATTTAGAAAGTAAAAGAGAGCTCTCCTTCTGGTTCTCCTTCTTTTGTAACTCTGCCTTTCAGGTTCTAAAAAATAAATTAAATAAACCCTAAAACAAAACAAACAAAAAAAGCCCTCTTCTTCTCAGGCTAGAGATCTGCAGAGCAGCTGGAGTCTCAGGCCGGGTCCTAACCACTCCGCACGGAGCTGCACAAACCCGGAATGGCCCTGTAGGAGCTTTTCGTCAACTGGGTTGTGAGCCTAAGAGGGCGGTGAGAGCGACAGGCCTGCACTGGGGGTGGGTACCCCCAAGGGGCAAGGAACAGGGGGCTTCCGTACTTCTTGATATCCTTGCAGATGAGCCACTCGATCTCGGGCGGGGGCATGCCGCTGGCCGTGCACGTCACGGTCTGCCCGCCGCTGGAGCCGTGGTGATCGTCCACCAGGTCCAGGATGGACGCGGGAACTGGAAGAGATGCACCAGTCAGAATGGAACGCGCCGCGCAGGAGTCGGAGCCCGGGCACGCGGGCACGCGGGCACGCGGGCACGTGCTCAGGCTGCCTGTGGCATGTGGTTCGCACGGCAAAGACGCTCTTGAAAACAAAACAAAACAAAAAAACCAGCAGAGCCTGGGCTTCAGGCCATGGCAGCCCTTGGCCGGGAGCTCTTAGCGGCTCTGGCTTTGAGAGAGTGAGTGAAAGATGTGTCGGCTCCCATCACAGGCCTGCTGCAAGGAACCAACAAGCCCACCCAAGGCTTAGAGACTTCAGAGACCTCAGCTGTGCAGCTGCCCCTTTGCCCATCAGCAGGGCAACTAAACCAAGCAAAAATCCCCCAGGACAATCCAAGGCCACTGGGACCACGAGGTGGGACTGGCAGCCTGCTCAGAAACTGCAGGGCCCACAGGGAGCTGCCAGCACCTAGAAGCTCCCCAAGAGAACATTCCAGAATACCCCGGAAACTTCTAGAACCACTCTGGTCCCTGGTTCTCCTCCACAAGCTGGCTCCCCAGAGCCACTCACTCACCCACCGAATGGCCGTCCCCTCCTGTTCCCCACCTTGAGTCAAGAGTTCGAATGTGTAGCTCTGCACAGCATCTTCGTTCTGAACCACGATGGTGTAGTGGCCGCTGTCTTCCTCCTTGGCACGGATGAGCTTCAGCTTGCATCGGTATCTTGGATCAAAGATATTTGTTTCAACAAAACAGGATGGCACACACGGCATTCACGTGCGCCACCAGCAGCTTGCATCACAAGCCCACGTCCTAGGGTCAGCTCTCGGTAGACTCAGCCTCCACCTGAGGCACCTGTCCCCCATTTGGATGACGGTTCAGGTCCTGGCTGTTCCACCTCCCATCAGCTCCGTGCTAATGGCCCGGGAAAGCAGCAGCAGATGGCTCAAGTCCTTGGGCCCCTGCATCCACACAGGAGACCAGGAAGAAGCTCCCGGCTCCTGGCTTCAAATCAGCTCAGCTCTGGCCACTGCAGCCACCGGGGGAGTGAACCAGTGGGCAGAAGGTCTGTCTGTCTGTGTTTCCTTCTCCCTCTGCATTCTGCCTTTCAAGTAAAAATACATAGATCTTTAAAATAAGTTGATAAGCATATGCTCCTCCTGGGCCTCCCAGATCTTAATCCCAGTGGGGAGCCGTGGAGAGCTCAGGCAATCCCCGCCCATTTCTCACCCTGCACAAGGACGACACCCTGGATGCTGCATTCCAGATGTGGGAGCTGAGGCTGGGTGCCGACCCAACCTCCTCCACCACTCCTTCAGGGATGAGCTGCATCTGCCCTTCCCATCAGAACACAAGGACCCACGGGATGCAGGGCCCCAAAACTAGCCTGGGACATTCACTGCTCCAACACAGAGAGCCCTGATGGGGACAAACCGGCTCTGAACAAAGCCAGCAGCACCGGCTCTCCTGGCAGCGGGCAACCGCTTTGCAAGTAATGAGGATCATCAAGGCAGCGGTTCTAGGTCAAGGGCTTCCATTTCACTCTCTCCTGACCGTCAGACTCACGCACCATGACCTGGCTGCAGCTGGGGCAGGGACGGCGAGCTGTTGTGCCCTGGTGTGACAAGGCCCTCCTGCCCAGGGAGGCGACCTCCCGGGGCCCCTGACCTCGGAAGTGCCAGGCGGGCTCGGAGCTGCAGCTGGGGCAGGGATGGCGAGCTGCTGTACCCTGGTGTGACAAGGCCCTCCTGCCCAGGGAGGCGACCTCCCGGGGCCGGAAGTGCCAGGCGGGCTCGGAGCTGCAGCTGGGGCAGGGATGGCGAGCTGCTGTGCCCTGGTGTGACAAGGCCCTCCTGCCCAGGGAGGCGACCTCCCGGGGCCGGAAGTGCCAGGCGGGCTCGGAGCGGCATGGTACCTGGTCTCCTGGACCTTCTCCACGTCGGTGGTGATCTCGGTGAGATTCTCGATGAGTGTCAGGCTGTCCTTGAGCCAGGAGATGTGGGGCGGCGGGTAGGCCTGCACATCCACCACGAAATGCCGGACCTCGTGCAGGCCGATGGCCTCGGACTGGCTAAAGGCGGGTTGGATCTCCACAAAGCCCTTCTCTGCAGGCGGAGGGTTGTGCGTTCAGTGCAGGCCAGCCCGCACACACTGGCGGTCAGTGGCACGGGTGACAGCGGGCAGGCGGACGTACCATGCACAGAAATGGTGACCTTCTTCATCTCCTTGACCTCCCTGGTGGCCTGGCGGGCGGCACACTCGTAGTCACCGCTGTCCTTCACCGTGGCCCCAGGCACCGTCAGCGTGTACACAAGCTTGAGGGTCGGGACTTTGATCTCTTCCAGCGCCGTGACACCTTTTCCTCTCTGCGACAGAAAGAGAGAGAAAACCGTTTTGGAGAAGAGCGAGAGAGAGAAAGAGAGATTCCACCCACCAGCTCATTCTCTGGGCAGTCACAATAGTCAGGGCTGGGCCAGGCTGAAGCTGGGAGCCAGGAAACTTCCTCCCAGTCTCCCACGTGGGAACAGGGGCCATTTGCTGCTATCCCAGGCCATTAACAGGGTCAGAGATGGAGCAGCTGGAACCTGAACTGGCCCCCATCTGGGACGCCGGTGCTACAGGCTGTGGCTTTACTCGCTGGCCACAGTGCCAGCCCCTCTCTGACTTCTGAAGGAGTAAGCTCAGGTCCCTGGCACCTGTGGAAACCTGCCCAACCTCAGACCTCCCCACGCCCGACCAGCCAGCTGTTGCCTGACCGTTTTTATCTGTTAATGTCTGAGTGGCAGAAGAGGCCAGGACCGTCAGACTCACGCACACAAACACTGGAGTCGCTCCCCGAACATCACCACCTCCCAGTAGCTAGAACCAAACCAGGCCCAGGGTTAGGGACAGATCCCTAGGAACCCACAGAGTTGAGTCACCGCCTAGGGCCTCCGGGGACGGGCGGGCGGGCACCTCAGCAGGAAACCAGAATGGAAAGAGAAGCCAGACGCCCAATCTGGGCACTTTCAGGAGCTGCAGGCGTCTGAGGCAGCAGCTGAAGCACGTGGCCAGTGCCCACCATGGATGGGCCCTTGGGTGCTGCGAGCTTCCGGCCAGGGCCAGAGGCTCAGGGATGCCCAGGCAGGAGATGCCCCTGGGGGCAGTCCCTCCCCATGCCCAGAATACCTACCACCTCGCCAGGGTAGGCCCACTGCAGGTCCACCACTTCGTTGTTGAAGACAGCACAGGTGACCACAATCGTCTCCCCAGCCTTATACACCGTCTGCAGAGCCTCCATTTCGAGATCCAATTCCGAGGTAGCTGAGAGAAGAACCGACACAGCGGGGGGAGAGCCGTGAGAGGCAGGATTGAATACAGCATCGTGTGTGTGTGTGAGAAGAACTCATTTTGACACCATGCCTATCAGGTGGAGGGAGACAAAATTTGGAGGGGGGAACCTCAGAAATCTTGAGCTGACAGAATTCGTGCACAGCCGAGCACGTGGTTACGGTGCAGAAATACAAAGAGAGACACTGCCGGTGAAAAGAACAAGCAATGGAGTGCCCGGGGCTCAATGTGCCTGCCTCGAGTGAGTTCCCAGCAACGCGGGCAGCCTTGGGGCCAGCCCTGCAATGGGCACTGGTGCTCCAACCCTCACCCTGCCCCTTCTCGCTCACTCTCAGCTGCCCGGAACGAAAGATCAGGAAGTGGTCCCCACGTGGCTCACATCAAAGGAAGTCCACAGGTCCACCATCGCAATCTGCATAAATCCCTCGCCTTCGAATGAAATGAATCTAAGCATTTGCACCCCGTCCCTCGCCCCAGGGTGTAGCTTTGTTGGCAGCACCTGTGCAGCCAGGGATGTGAACAAACACTAAGAGGCTCATGCAAGGAGAGAATTGCTGGCGGTATTTCGCGGTTAGCTGAAGAGCCAGGAGTCCCTGCACACCAATGCAGGCACACGCGGCCTTCCTGCTCGCTTTCACCTGGCCAGCCTGGCACTGGCCAGGGAGCGTGGGGACTTCAGCGCCTCCAGCCGCAGGGACGGTGGCGTGCTAGGCAGCATCCCCCAGGCCCTTCTGGCAGTGCCACCTGCCGCCCACATGGGAAGCGGGAGGCGGAAGGAGGGGCTGGGTACCTTTCAAGGCATAGATGTTGAAGGGAATCGTCTGGAAGGTCCTCCCATGGACAGTGGCCTCGCACACGTACGGCCCCATGGTGAAGGTGCCATTGAAGCCATGCTTATTGTCGTAAGAGGCAGAGACCACCCCATGGCTGTTGCGCAGGGTGACATGGGTCTCGGGGTCCGTGGTGCGACACGGGATGATGGCTGAGTCGTCGTCTTCCACGATCACCAAGTAATCAGTCATCCCCAGGGGCACAAAGGCGACATCCGGGTCTGTGTGGGGAATGGCAGGGGATGGTTCAGGCCCGGCTCCCGCCCCCACCCCGCCACCAGCAAGAGCCCCATGCCCTGGCTAGGACACCGTCCCTGCTACCATGAATTGCCTTGGATGTTTTTGTTATGTTTTGTTTTCAGAAGATTTACTGATTTGTTTGAAAGGTAGAACTACAGAGAGAGCTCCCATCCAACGGTTCACTCTGCAAATGGTTGCAATAGCCAGGGTAGACCAGGCCCAGGAGCCAGGAGCTTCTTCTGGGCCTCCCACACGGCTGCAGGAATCCAAGAACTTGAGCCATTTCCCAGCCACAGGAGCAGGGAACTGGGTCAGAAGTGGAACATCTGGGACTCGAACCAGTGTCCACATGGGATGCCAGCATCACAGTCTGCAGCTTAACTTGCTACAGCAACTGCTTGAACCCCAATGAAGACTACCACAATGAACAGAATACAAGCCAGAAACTCAACTCAAACTTCAAAGAACAAAAAAATGAACAAAGTAATAGAATCTAATTCTGTCAGAAGAAAAGGGAATTAATCATAATTTTTAGGCCATGAAATGTATTTAAAAACACTTAATGGAACCTATGCAATATTAAACATATTAAGCCAATATGCGCTGTACCAGTATCCCACATAAGCGCCAGTTCATATCCCAGCTGCTCCACTTCCCATCCAGCTCCCTGCTTGTGGCCTGGGAAAGCAGTTGAGGACGGCCAAAGCTTTGGAACCCTGCACCCGTGTGGGAGACCCAGAAGAAAGAAGCTCCTGGCTCCTAACTCCCACCTGACCCAGCCCTGACCATAATGCAGCTATTTGGGGAGTGAATCAACAGATGGAAGATCTCTCTCTCTCTCTCTCCGTAACTGCCTTTTAGAAATGTAAAAATAAGTAAGTAAAATGCCTTAAAAAAAAAAAGAACCCTGAGGTTAACAGGCTAGCCCGTCCAAGGGACTTGGCCAGCGCCCACTCACTCACCGGGCACATAGATATACACGTGGCTGCCCTCCACGTCGCCATCCTCCGTCTGCGTGTGGTTGTAGTAGCAGGTGTACCAGCCGGTGTGGGCCGCCGTGGCGCTGGCCACCTCCAGCACGGCCACAAAGAGGCCACTGTTGTTCTCCTCGCTGTGCACATCCACCATGGGGCTCTCATCCTCGGATGTGGGGTACTGCCAGTTCAGCTCGCTCTCCCCGGAGCATCGCAGAGAGAACGAGGCATTCAGCGGCACCACCCGCTCGCTGTCGCCCGGAGAGATGGACGGCAGAGGCAGCTCGCAGCGCGTGAGGCCCGACCCTGCACCAAGAGCCACGTGAGGCACAGCATGTGGCAGCCACGCTCTTCCGCATGAGCCCCCCCAAAAGCCTGGATCCCTGTGACCCCACTCATCACAGCCAGCTGCTGCACATTTGTTGAAGGCAGCGAAGGTTCTAGGCCCAGCCCCTCAGATCCACCCCTGTGGACATGGCAATGGACAGGGGCCACCTGACCCCGAGTCTGCGCACTGCAGGCTTTCACATGTGGCCAGATCTATCCATCAAAGTGACGGACAGCTTGGCGACTTAGTGACCGTTCACATGGGGGTCAGGTGCACAGGGTCACCACGCCTGTAGAGCATCCCCGCCCCCCAGGAGCCAAGGCCAGAGAGCGGGGGAGGGCTGGAGAACATACCTGCCAACAGCCAGCTAAGGACCAGGAAGGCTCGACAGGAGAGCACCATGGTTCCAGGTAGCTGCAGAATCAAAAGTCAGACAGAAACCACGTTAGTTGCCAGACGCAACGCCCAGCCCGGCAGGAGCACAAAGGCAAAGGGCCCCAGGGAGCTAGGACGGGCAGTGCCACTGCTGCACCTGCACACGGCTCAGTCACCCACAAGGCCTGCTTTGCTGCCTTGGACCCAAGAGCCAGGGGACAGCAGCGCTTCTCAGTGGATGGAGGTCATTGTGAAAGACCAAGAAGTGGATGCCCAAGCCCGCTCGTTCTGTCGGCCTGTGCCGTGTCCACCGACAACAGCGTGACTCTGTAAAGATAAAGGGATGTCCTCCAGGGACCGGCACCCACTGCTCTATCAGTCACAGGGTGAGGTGGCCGCTGTGTCCTTGGGGAGAGAGCCGACAGCTGGTGTCTTTGTCTTTGGAGGGGAGGGGGGCGCACGTCCTACACGGGCACCTGTCCGAGTCCTGGCTGCCCCACTTCCAATCCCGCTCCCTGGGAAAGCAACAGAGGACATGGGAAAGCCTCGGGCCCCTGCACCCATGTGGGAGACCTGAAGGGAGTTCCTGCCTCCTGCCTGGCCCAGCCCTGGCTGTTAAGGCCATTTAGGGAGTGAACCAGCGGATGGAAGCCCTCTCCTCTCTCTCTGCTTCTCTCTGCAAGCTTGCTTTTCAAAGCCAAGGTGACTCTCTCCCTTGGCAAGCACAGTGACCCGTGCCAGGTCAGCCTCAGGGAACCTGCTGGACTCCCTGTTGAGCTGAACTTAGCAGATCCAACACGGGCGCAGACTTGCCATGACAGTGACACAGGAGCGGCATCAGAGAGAAGGGAAGCGGGAGGGAAGGGGCAGCAGGGAGCACGCTCGCTCGCCTCCAGCAGCGTGCAGGGATCGGCAGGAAACCTGTGCTAGGCCGTTGGCCTTCAAGGACAACGGGGGACTGACCATGCACCCCAGCACATCACCAGGCATGCAGCGCTGGAAGGCAGGGAGGAGGAGGAGGTGCAGGAGAGAAGAAACTACCACCAGGCCCTCGCGCGCCCTTTGCTCACTGCCCCTGTGTCCTCCCTGGCTTCCCACGCAAGGGAAAGACCAAGCCTTGAATCGTCCCAGGTACTTGTCTGGTAAGAGGATCCCCTAGCACGGCTGCTCTTAAGAAGTGACTATGGGCTAGTGCGAGGGCTCAGTGGCTAAACTGTTGTCTTGCAAGCACTGGGATCCCATGTGGGTGCTGGTTCATGTCCCGGCCGCTCCACTTCCCAGCTCCCTGCTTGAGCCTGGGAAAGCAGTCCAGGACGCCCCAAAGCCTTGGGACCCTGCATCTGTATGAAAGGCTCGGAAAAGGCTGACAGCTCTGCTTCCAATCCAGCTTCCTATTAGTCCAAACTCAGCCAGGCAGCAGGTGCGCCCCCACCCCCACACTCACATGGGCGACCCGGATGGAGGTCACAGCTCCCAGCTCTGGCCAGCCCCCTGCCACCCGCCCCACCCTGGCCCTAGCCCTGGCTGTGATGGCCATGCATGTGGGAACTAAGCCATTTGGGATGGAAGCTCTCTGCCTTTCAAACCGAGTGAACGTGATAAACGGCCCCACGGCTGGTGGCAAAGATAGGCTCTGGCACCCCGTGTTGCCTCAGAGGAAGATGGGAGCCTAGTAGGCGTCCCAACCCATCCCCCTATTTCCTTATGCAAACTGGCAGAGGGGGCTGCTCTCCGCCTGCTGGGCTGCTCCTGAGTCAGAGAATCCAGATGCACGGGCCCAGTCCTGGCGGCCGTGGGCTCCTGGAGGCCCTGCCACGGGCCCAGGGCCTCCAGAAGGCTCTGTGGGGTGTGTGGAGTGGGAAAGGCAGAGCCAGAGCAGCCGCTGGCTGGGCCACAGTGAGTGGTGCACGGAAACCCTGACCCCCCCGCTGATAATCCACTTCCTGCACTTCAGATCAAGACCACTGGGTGTCCCCAAAGCCATGGCTGGTTCTGCAGCAAGCCTGCCAGTCAGGTTTCCCCTGAGGGCGAGAGGGTGCCAGGTCCCCTAGACCCACGGTATGCCTAATGCCAGCACAGTTTCTGGACACACACTTGGCCCAAGACAACAAGGCCTCCAGCCAACAGCCGTCAGCGGCTCCAGCATGCCCACATGTCCCCCTGTCCTGTGCCAACCACCCACTGGCTGCGGCTCCCACCTCAAGGCCCATCTGCCATTGGCACCAGTGCCGTATGGCCGCCAGCGTGGGGGACACGGAGCCCCCTCGCCGGGCACTGGGGCTCTCCAGGAGTCACCCCTGGCCCAGGGCAGGTCAGACCACATGAGCTTCTGCCACTAGGCCGTCTCTCCCCACCCGGTCTCTTCTGGACCAGAGGATAGGCAGCGCACTGTGGCAGTGAAATTCACCCCGCAGCCGCCCATCACTGTATCGGGGCAGGTCAAGCCTGGGCTACCCAGGCTGCAAGTCATCCAGGCTCCGTCTGGACATTTGTTGTCTTACAGTCCCAGGCAACTTCAGATGACAGCAGGTCCTTCCGTGGCCTAGTGGGGCTGCCATGTGGCTCCAGGGGCTGTGAGATTGGCCCCGTCTCCCAGACTAAGTCCCAGGGGGGCAGAGGGCAGCGGTCCACGGCCACTCCCACCCCCTCATGCAGCCACCAGCCTGTGCCACACACACACACACACCACCCATGCCCCTAGGATCGTGTCACGCCAGGCAGAGACAGGACGCTCAGCTGCAAACAACTCCAGGCAGCAGGCAGGCCTCCCACTCGCCGAACGCCCCCCGCTGCTGGGTCACAGGCCCCTGCCCCCACCCGGGCATGATTAAAGACCACAGGGGCCGCCAGCAGGGTCCCCAGCGCCACCCACGGCCTCCAGCCTCGGATTCCCAAGGTCCGGCTAATTCCAGCTCTGCCGAGTTAATTCTAGCCGTGGAAATTACACAGCTTGCTTTCTTCTCCCCCCTCTGCGACAAATGCTCTCCGGGGAGCAGGGGCCATTTTGCGCTCCCTGCGTGTCCCTGCGCACTGCCCTGATGGGTGCGGGCTGGGGGACCGGTTCAACCTAACCTCAATTAATCCACTTCTGCCCCCAACAGAAGCACCAGACTCACACTAGACTGTCACCAAATGGTGCGGCGCCACAGGACAAAATCAGGGGCAGCCGCCTGGGGCACACTAGAGGGGGCCAGGCTGCCCAAACCTGGTCTCCAAGCCCACAAGCAGAGACACAAACACCTACCTTCCAACCAGTTGAGTTTGGATAATCAGGTGTGGAAGGTGAACACTGCTCATCGTATAAATGCAAGGGCTTTATGAGTTGCCATAACAACCACACAAAACAAACAAAAACCCGTGGATGAGCACAAGATGAAGGCCATGCCTGCATCAGCTGGTTTCCCGGGAGAAGCCGCCCTTCTTCGCGCCAGTGGGAACTGCAGCTCCCCTTGCTGTGCAGTTCTCGAAGGCGGCCAGCAGATGGCAATGTTGCCCCAAGGATGCGCTACTCCCCCAAAAAACCCGCCCTTCCATCTTCCTTTCCAAGCAATTCCCTCTTCGGCGGCACTTTCGGGCTTCGTGGCGCCCTCAGTCCAAAACCCACGACTGGACAGCAGGAATGAATAGGAAAACCACGGCTGCAAGTGCTCCCCCGGACTGCCGGAGGGGCGAACCCCAAACCTGGCGCGAGCACTAAGGGGCTCTGGGCCCCAGGCGTCAAAGGGCCCCCCCACTGCATGGCCCAGGCCTCGGTCCGCGCGTGGCCTCCACCCGGCTGGCCAGGAACCGTAGCCAGGCCTCGCGCAGGGTGGGATTCCTAGTGTGGATGACAAGGGCGCCCCCTCCTCCACCCAGGCTCCAGCTGAGTCCACTCATCCTCCGGGCTCCTCCAGGGGCCACACGGTGCCCAAGGGAGCATCTTGCTCTGGAGAGTAGGGAGGCGATCCAGGTGGGCGCAGGCTCCGGGGGTCCCTGCTGGGAGCGGCCCGGGCGCAGACCCCACTAGAGGGCGCGGCAGCCCCGCGGATCTTACCCTTTTACACGCTCTGCGCAGCTTCGGCTCCGGGACCCCGACAGCGCAGCCCAGAGCGCCCAGCTCGTCCAAGCCTCGCCCGCAGCTCCGCGCTGGTCCCGCTCGGCCCCGGGCACCGTCGGGGCCGGTGCCCCTTCCACCCACACCAGTGCTGCCAGGCCCTGCTGGCCCAGCCTCCGCCTCCCCTCCGGTGCGGACCCCAGGCTTAGAGCCGCTGCGCTCGGGGCCAGTCGCTGGGCGTTTGCATTGTTTTCGACGGTGGAGACCTGAGAGGGGCCGGGCTGGGTGTGGAGGAGCCCAGGGGGCCGGGCCGGGGTTTAGGGTTACAGGCGCGCACACGCGAGCCAGCGCCTCCTACGGGCGCCTCGGCCGCGCGCGGGGCGGCGGTGCAGGCCTGCCCCGAGGAGATGAGCGCCCGCGGTTTGCAGGAAGTGGCCCTGGCCCCTGGCCCATCTGTTGCCCTCACTTCACACTGTCCCCGTTGGGCGGCAAGGAGGCGCCCCGAGTGTGCGGTCCCCAAGCCGCTCAAACAAAGGACTCGTTCCCATGGAGAATGGCTTCCAAGGCTGGGCTAGCGCGGGTCAGGGAAGTAGGGGACCCCTCATGTTGCCGTGTGCCAGAGTGGGGCGCAGGAGTCGCCAGGCGCGGCAGCGCCCATGGCCCCTTGCTGGCGACCCACACTCTTGCCAGCACACTCTTGCCAGCAATCAGGAAAATGCTGGTCTCAGCTGCCCCGAGGGTTGCCTGGGTCTGTGTTGGAAGACGCTGGCCACTAGATCCCCAGGACGCGTCGCGCCGCCCACGGCCCGTGGCCAGCAGGCAGTGTGCATTTGCCTCGGCGCCAGCCGCGTTTGCAGCTCCAGAACCAACAGCATGCCCCTCCCCAGCCCGCAGCCCCAGGGTGAGAACTCAGCTTGGCTTCTTGGCACCCCTGTGGGTCTGAGGACTGCGGCGAGAGCGCAGCCCACAGTGACCCCGCTGGCTGCCAGGGCCC